GTCCAAGAACTGAGCCCTGAGGCACCCCAGTAGTTAGATGTTGACTTGGACACCTCACCTCTCCAAGATACCTTGAAGGACCTATCTGAGAGGTAAGACTCAAACCACTGGAGTGCGGTTCCTGAGATGCCCTTTGCCAATAGGGTTGACAGGAGGATCTGGTGGTTAACCGTGTCAAAAGCAGTGGACAGATCCAGCAAGATAAGTATTGAAGATTTGGAATCTGCTCTTGCAAGTCTTAGGGTTTCAACAACTGAGAGCAAGGCAGTCTCGGTTGAATGTCCACTTCTGAAACCAGACTGGTTGCTGTTGAGGAGGTTGTTCTGTGTGAGAAAGGCAGATACTTGGTTGAACACAGCTCGTTCAAGTGTTTTTGCAATGAAAGGAAGAAGGGAAACTGCTCTGTAGTTCTCTAAAAGAGATGGGTTAATGGTGGGTTTCTTAACTAATGGGGTTATACGAGCCTGTCTAAATGATGAGGGAAAAACACCAGTGTGAAGGGATGTGTTAATGATGTGAGTGAGTGAAGGTACAACTGCAGGAGAAATGGCTTTATATATAAAATAAATTATCAATATTCTTATGACATGAGTTGTTATTATGAAAATCTGGCCAATTATTATTCCCATTATTACACTTCTTTTTTCAACATGCTGTCCTAACAGCACATTAATATGCAAATGATATAGTGTATACATTGCGTTTAATGGGAAAACCAGTTTATGGAAATTTTACACACATATTGCATAAAGCAAAATGGTATATCTAATAATTTTGTTATATATTTTATAACAGTTGAGAATCATCCTTATACAAAGTTTGGTATAAAAAAAATCCTGAAACCTAAAAAAATCCCATTGTATTTGCCTTTCATGCCTATTCATGTCATTCTATTTTTTAGAAAAACTGAGTCCTGGTGTTTTCTACAGAAGACATAGCATAACATGAATAAAATATCATTTTTAAAAAATGTTATTTTTCCTTTTTTTTTCTTAAAAATGTAAACAATGTAAACACATGAAAAATACTAAATTCACAAAGTTTTTTTTTTCTGGTTCTCAGGAGGTATTCAACACATTCAACACTTTATATTTAAAACATTAATCTCACAACATTGTTATTATGAAATGCATTAATGCCACCTCTGAGCCTCATTAAATAGTCTGTAAATATTCCTTAATGCCACATTTGTGTTCTTCTGTGCCACCTCCTAGTGCAAAGATGAATTGTTGATGCTGATTTCATTTGACTGGTAACTTATTTTTTCCTGATTGTATCTGATTATTTTAATTGAATTCACTGTTTAATTAAAATTTTTGATAAAAGTTGATAAATCTATTTTTTTGGCACAAAAGATGACAGACATTAAATAAAGTTAGAAAAATGGCATAACAAAATTAAAAAAAAGCCCTGCAAATCTCTTTAAGGAGTCAAATATCACCTCATATGGGAAGGTTAATTTCTGTCATTGATCAGAAAGTGTTCCTAAATTTAAGTAGGAGCAGATGTGCTCCTAAAAAGAAATGTAAGCGTAGAGTCCTGAAGAATGTAATGTTGCCTTTTAAAAACTAATTGCAAATGTTAATGCAAAGTGTAAACTAAATAATACTTAAATATAATCTACAAATGATGGAATACTGTATGTACCACTAAATAAAAAGTGTTTTGAGGGCTTAGCTAATCAGACCAATTACAGACAATTATTAATCATTTTCATTTTTTATGAAATCATTTTCATTTCACGAATCAATCTTTTTTTTTTTTTGTAATTAAACACAAAGGGTCATTAATGATGCTTACATTATAACGTGCAAATTCACACACAACATATCTTTAATTTGGCAGGAATTGCAGGGTGCCTACCTTTAGAGAAAATATGAAATAATTTTTAATGTTATTTTAGATTATAAAGGGTTTTATTATTAAATGCATCTGAAAGGTCATCTAAAATTACCATTATTACCCCCCCCCACTCCAAGCTAGAGTCCCCAAGTGAATTTTGGCCATTTCAACCGCTGCTTACATCCAAAAACACACTTCTGTAGAGACATTCTTCCCGAGCGAGTCTTGTGCAGCACTGCTGAATGAAACGCGTTGATGGGCGCGCTCTTGATCTCGCTCTGGTCGATGCGGCTGCGCTCTTCCGGGAGAAATGCCCTTACAAGAAGTTCCACCTTTCATGACGTCATGAAGAGCCACGATCGAAAAAAACTTTCAGAAACTTGTAAGAAACCCGGAAGTGTGTATTTGTCACAGAAATACTCTGTTATACGTCCAAATCGTCTTTTAAAACTTTGGCCATGTTTAGCATGAGAATCCAACTCTTTAACAGTGTAAATAACTCAACATCAAGTCAAGTCAAGTCAAGTCTGCTTTATTGTCAATTCTTCCACATGTACAGCACATACATTTAGCATATATAATGTTACACAGAGATGCATTTGTGAAAACACTCAGTTCTATTTAACATCTTTTGTAATAAAAAGTGTAAATCAACTGATCATGAAGTGCACTTTAAAGTGATTGTTTAAATAATATATGAGTGTGTACTTTGTTAAATATGGTAATTCAAAGGATTGAATTTAATCTATCTCTGTTATAGTTCAGTTTATCAGAAGAGATCAGAAGCCAACTGTGTGTCTATGAGGAGTGATTGGTCTATGGATCATCCAGTAAAGTTTAAGAGTGGAGATACAAAGACTGATCTCAGGTAAGTGTTTATATAAATATTATTATAGCATGTCATTTTATATTATCAAACTACTGTCTATAGTATTTGCTATAATATATGAGAAATTTATATACATTGCTAATAGATATATATATTTTTATCTTTGTTATATTTTAACATATATAATGATACACAGAGAGACACATTTGTGAAAGCACTCAGTTCTATTTAATATATTAATATTAATAAAATAGAGTAAAATAAATTATCCTAAAGTGCTTTTTAAAGTGATTGTTTAAATAATATATAATGACGTACTTTGTTAAATATGGTAATTCAAAGGATTCACTTTAATCTCTCTCTGTTATAGTTCAGTTCAGCAGAAGAGATCAGAAGCAGAGTCCAGCTGTGTGTCTATGAGGAGTGACGCGTCTATGAATCAGCCATTAGATTATAAGAGTGAAGATACAAAGACTGATCTCAGGTCTAATATTTCTGTAAAAGACTTTGATTATGATACAGAATGCATTAGCTTAGCTGATTTAATAATGTAGTATTTTAATTTTCCAGGCATGAAGTCCTCAACAGGTCATATGAATAAATTATTTGGGTTTGTCAATAATTAAAAATGTCTTTGCAAAAAAGGAATTTAAGTAATTGTAATTTTTAAAGGGGTCATGAACTGCCTCTGTTTTTTATTTTGTACAGTTCTCTGAGGTCCACTTATAATGTTGTCAAGATTTTTAAATCAAAAAACATCATAATGTATAAGTAATAAGCTATTTTCTGTCCTGTTTTTGACCCTCTCATCAGAACGCTCTGTTTGAATAGATGTGGAGGATTGTAGACTCAGAAGTAAACACACACTGCTGTGATTGGCTAATAGTTGTGTGTTTGACAGTCTTCATCCTTCACAGATGGACGCTGCTGTGATTTAGGTCAAAAACATAAATAACTCAATACATATCAAGCAATCTGTAAGAAGAGACAAAGCAATAGTGATCACGTAATAAAAACAGTTACTCACACTTGTGTGGTGCCACATCGGATCCGATATAGTCGACACAACATCGTCTTTTAGTTTCAATCTTTCAGAAAATTCTGCATCAAATTGTACCTTGTTTGTAAACGAATCTGCGGTAAAATGAAGTGAAGAAAAGACAGATTTCTTACTGGCATGGTCTGGTGGTGCTTACCCACACTATTACATCATAGAGTAGAACATTCCTCAAGCTGTCGTTTTGGCAGACTGGCTTCAATATAAGCTGTTTTTAGACTAACGACAAACTTTTGAGTTCTGAAACTTACAGGATGTTTTTATAGTACAATGTTCTCTTATGTTAAAAGATCAAGGGAATATTTTGATTTCTCAGTTCATGACCCCTTTAAACCTCTGACATTGTGCAGGCATGTTTGCCTCTCTCGTAAACACTGTATGTGTGAATCAGTGGGCGGAGCTAAACAGGCAGTGATGTCGATCTTCTTCTGGGGAGGCGGAGCTTATCCACACTATTACATCATAGAGTAGACTGCTCTGGCTTCAGCTCTGAGATCAAACCCCTCACACCTGAGATACCTGGATCTGTCTGGGAATAAATTAGGAGATTTGGGTGTGAAGCGTCTCTGTGCTGGACTGGAGGTTCCTCACTGTAAACTGGAGATACTGCGGTAAAATCATCTGTCTGATAGTCTCATGTCTTTGTCTTCAGTAAGATGTGTCCTTTAATGTGGATCATGTTTTTGTTCTGTGACATTTTAGATCTCAGTTCAATGATCCATCAAACATATTTATGTGTGTTTTGTGATTTGTATTTGAACTTTATTCACAACTAAACTAATCTGATCTGAGAGAGTGAAGAGTGTGTCATTGTTCTCTACAGGTTGATTGATTGTGGCGTCACAGATGAAAGTTGTGCTTCTCTGGCTTCAGCTCTGAGATCAAACTCCTCACACCTGAGAGGACTGGATCTGATTGGGAATAAAATAGGAGATTTGGGTGTGGATCGTCTCTGTACTGGACTGAAGGATCCTCACTGTAAACTGGAGAAACTGCGGTAAGATCATCTCTCTGATAGTCTCATGTCTTTGTCTTCAGTAAGATGTGTCCTTTAATGTAAATTCTGACTAGACACTAAATCTCAGCACAAATGACTGAAGATGAAGTTCATTTCATTCATCTTCATCACATCATAAGCTTTTGCTCATTTACTGGAGCTTCAGTTGCTTCTGCTAGTTTCATTAAAGGGGTCATCTGATGTTCCTAAAAAGAACATTATTTGGTGTAATGCAATGTGTTTGTGGTTTAAGGTTCAAAAAACACATTATTTTCCACATACTGTACATTATTGTTTCTCCTCTATGCCCCGCCTTTCTGAAACGTGTCGATTTTTACAAAGCTCATCGTTCTGAAAAGCGAGGTGTGCTCTGATTGGCCAGCTATCCAGTGCGTTGTGATTGGCCGAATGCCTCAAGCGTGAGACGGAAATGTTACAACCCTCACATAACTGATGCCGTATCCGGCCAGAGCGACGAGACAAAACCAATAAAACCCATTACAACAGACTGTCCTTGCAAAGTTGGAATTGCCCCACTTTATAGAAACACAGATGGCATTGTAGGCTACTCTCACAGAAAACAGTCTTCCATAAAATGCGCTGCACACATCTAAATATTTGGGTTGAACTGTTCTGGAACAGTGTTGTAAATACACATCACATCATGAGCTCTTGCTCCTGATGTGATGAAGATGATGTTAATTTCATTAATCTTCATCACATCATGAGCTCTTGCTCCTGTTTTTGGCCAACAAACATTTACTGGAGCTTCAGTTGCTTCTGCTAGTTTGATTAATACTCCTTCACCTGCCCATCTCTGTGTAAGAGTTTATTTTCCTCTTATTTTCCACGTTTTCTGAAAACCCATGAGCTCATTGTGTTCTCACAGATGTCATAAAGATTTAACCTGAATGTTCAGATACTAATGTGTGATTTAGTGATTTCTGTTCAGTTTATAAGCTACCAAACATGACACAATGATGTGTTTGATCACAAGAGTTGATAAATGAGATGTAATGGGGAACACGTGGTCAGGGTCAGAATTACAGACATTACTTTCTTCAGGACTTCCCTGACAGACCGGGTGATCTGGAGAAACATTTCCAGAGATCACACTTTGTGATGGAACATCAACAACTGCAGCGGAGTCGTGAGCATTACCTGACTCAACCGTCTGCGGATCATTGTCAGCCACTACTGGGCCTTCACCATCAGGTACAGAGTCATCAGAGGATACAGAACAGTTATCAGAAACGTCATAATTTACAGAAAATACACTCTCGTCATCATTTTTTCCCACAATGTTACTCAAAGGGAGGAAATTTACACACAAAAGAAGGTTTCTGTGTACCACCTTTAACTGACCAGATACAGGGTGTTTAATCTTGTAAATGTGGGTTTTAGGATCACGATCAACCACAGTATATACCACATTTTCCCACTTGTCTGAAAGTTTGCGCTTGCCGCGTTCACTTTTATTGGCTAATAGGACCCTGTCACCAACTTCAATTTTCACACCCTTATTTTTGCGATTGTACATGTGGGCTTGATGAGACTGTTCTTTTGAAGTGTTAGACTCCGCAACAGCAAGAGCATCCCTCAAATCCTTGCTCAGGGACTCTACGTACTTGGGAAGAGAGTCGTTCGAATCATTCCATAGTACGCTCTTGAAAATAACATCAATTGGCAGTCTCAGGGTGCGACCGAATATTAGATAGAAGGGAGGGTACCCCGTAGTCTCGTGCACCGTGCAGTTGTACACGAATGTTAATGTATGGAGCATCCGAGGCCAATCTTGCTTTGGTCATGGTTCAAGGGCTCTGATCATGTTTCCCAATGTTCGATTAAATCTTTCTGTGATTCCGTTGCCCATAGGATGATATGGTGTCGTTTGTGACTTCTTAACACCAGAAAAATCAAGCAAATGCCTAATGAGCTCACTACAAAAATTGGCCCCCTGATCAGAATGAATGCGGTCCGGGAAACCATAGTAGCAAAAGTAGTTATCCCAGAGCTTCTTTGCTACTGACTTAGCTGACTGGTCTGGGCAGCGAAAGGCATGGGCCAGCTTGGTAAAATGGTCAGTGACCACTAAAACATCAACTGACCTATTCTGTGAATCTTCCGCAGACCAGAAATCAATGCAGACTAATTCAAGTGGAGCAGAAGTCTTGACACTCTCCAACAGAGCTCGGCCCTCCGGCTCTGGTGTTTTTGCAAGCACACAATGACTACGCACTTTCGCATAGTCACGAACATCACGTTCCATGTCTGTCCAGTAGAAGCGTTGACGAGACAGTTGGAGAGTGCGATATTGGCCTTGGTGTCCGGCCTCATCGTGACATCCTTTCAGCACGTCAGCTTTCAGGGAAGATGGTACCACGTACTGAAATCTTTTGTGACGTGACAAGGGGTCTCTCGAAACACGATACAAGACACCATCATTCAATAATAGCTTCTCCCACTGCTTCATAAGCTTCCTTACAGCGCTGGCATCCCCCATGCGCTCACACCTCGAAGGTCTGCGCTTTCGGTCAACATAGAATATCACCCTCCACAAATGTTCATCCTCAAGCTGTTTGTCTCTCAGTTCTTGACGAGAGTACGAAGGAAGGGCATCAAACCCAACATCTGCGATCTGTTGGACAAATCCAGCTAAAGGAATGGCCCATGTTTGTGTTCTGTTGTCCCAAGAAAGGTGATTAGAAAAGACAGCAGCCACTTCTGCACTCGAAAAGCTCCCAGGCGCGTCCGTGTCTGATTTGACTGCTAACTGCTCACAAGCACTCGCTGGGGCCTCTATACTGTCAAGCACTCGCTGACTGGCGTTTGACAACCGGAAAACATCTTGGACAGCAGCACAGGTATGGTTACTTGACTCCGCCAGCAGCTTGTCATAAGGTTCCCTTACTATGCGGTGACTGACACGACCGTTGACAAAAGGCTGCCTGCTCAAGGCATCAGCAATTGAGTTCTTAGGCCCTGGAACATATTTGATGTCAAACTCAAAGGCAGCGAGTTTGGCCACCCATCTTTGTTCACAGGCGTCAAGCCTAGGTTTGGTCAAGATATGCGTCAAGGGATTATTATCTGTCCAAGCTGTGAACCGATGTCCTTTTAGCCAGTGGCTAAATTTATCACATACGGCCCATTTGAGGGCGAGAAACTCAAGTCGATGTGCTGGATATCTAGCTTGCGCCCTGGATAGTGACTTACTCACGAATGCACTGGGTCGAGCCCTGCTTTCCCCAGGACTCAGTTGCGAAAGCACGGCGCCCAATCCCTCACATGAAGCATCAGTGGCAAGAATAAAGGGTCTGGAAAAGTCAGGATGCGCAAGAATAACATTGGACAGGAGAGTTTCCTTTAATGCCGACAAAGCCGCCTCACAAGCTGGAGACCAGTCGTCAGGAGTGAGTTTTTTTGATGC